GTGAATGTGATTGATCTTAGAAGTTCTTCCTCAGCCATGGCATTGTCTGTGTATACAAAGGCTGTTGATTTTTGTGCATTGATTTTATACCCTGCTACTTTGCCAAACTCTTCTATGAGTTCCAATAGTCTCTTAGTAGAGTTCTTTGGGTCCCCTAAATAAAGAATCATGTCATCTGCGAAGAGGGATAGTTTGAGTTCTTCCTTCCCAATTTGTATCCCTTTAATTTCTTTTTCTTGCCTAATAGCTCTGGCTAGAACCTCCAGTACTATATTGAATAGCAGTGGTGAGAGTGGACATCCCTGTCTGGTACCAGATCTCAGTGGAAATGCTTCCAACTTTTCCCCATTCAATAGGATGTTGGCTGTGGGTTTTTCATAGATTGCTTTGATTGTATTGAGGAATGTTCCTTCCAAACCCAGTTTGCTTAGAGTTTTCATCATGAACGGGTGTTGCATTTTATCAAATGTTTTCTCTGCATCTATTGAGATAATCATATGGTTTTTCCTCTGCAGTCTGTTAATGTGGTGTATCACATTGATTGTCTTGCGCACATTAAACCATCCCTGCATACCAGGGATAAATCCCACTTGGTCTGGGTGGATGATCTTTCTGATGTGTTGTTGCATTCTATTGGCGAGAATTTTATTGAGGAGTTTTGCGTCTATGTTCATCAGGGATATTGGTCTGTAATTCTCTTTCAGTGCTGCATCTTTTTCCGGCTTAGGAATTAAGGTGATGCTGGCTTCATAGAAAGAATTTGGGAGGACTCCCTCTTTTTCGAGTGTTCTGAATAGCTTGAGAAGAATTGGAGTTAGTAGTTCTTTAAATGTCTGGTAGAATTCAGCAGTGAATCCGTCTGGTCCTGGGCTTTTCTTTGTTGGGAGGGCCTTTATGACTGTTTCAATTTCTGTCTCAGTTATGGGTCTGTTTAGGTTTTCGATGTCCTCATGGTTCAATGTAGGTAGGTTGCATGTGTCCAGGAATCTATCCATTTCTGATAGGTTTCCGTGTTTGCTGGCATACAAGTCCTTGTAGTAATTTCTGATGATTCTTTTTATTTCTGTGGTGTCTTTTGTTACGTTTCCTTTTTCATCTCTGATTTTATTGATTTGGGTCTTTTCTCTTCTTTTTTTTAGTTAGTTGGGCCAGTGGGGTGTCAATTTTGTGTATTTTTTCAAAAAACCAGCGCCTCGTTTGGCTGATTTTTTGTAATGTTTTTCTTGATTCAATCCTGTTGATTTCTTCTCTGATTTTAATTATTTCTCTTCTCCTACTAGATTTGGGTCTGGTTTGCTGTAGGTTTTCTAGATCCTTGAGGTGAATTGAAAGCTCATCTATTTGGTGCCTTTCCAAATTCTTGATGTAGGCACCTATTGATACAAACTTTCCTCTTAACACTGCTTTTGCTGCGTCTCATAAGTTTTGGTATGTTGTGCTGTTATCCTCATTTACTTCCAGAAAGTTTTTGATTTCTCTTTTGATTTCTTCTATGACCCATTGTTCATTCAGGAGCATGTTGTTCAATCTCCATGTGTTTGCGTATGCTCTAGGGATTCCTGAGTTGCTAATTTCCAACTTCATTCCTTTATGGTTTGAGAAACTGCATGGTATGATTCTAATTCTTTTGAATTTGCTGAGACTTGCTTTATGGCCTAGTATGTGGTCAATCCTAGAGAAGGTTCCATGTACTGCTGAGAAGAATGTAAAATCTTTAGCTGTAGGATTGAAAGTTCTGTATATATCTGTTAGATCCATTTGGGCTATAGTGTCGTTTAAATCTATTGTATCCTTGTTGATCTTCTGTCCTATTGATCTGTCTATTTCTGAGAGTGGAGTATTGAAGTCCCCCAGTACTATTGTATTGGGGTCTAAGTCTCCCTTTAAGTCCATTAATAAATCTTTTAGATAAACTGGTGCCCTGTAGTTAGGTGCATATACATTGATAATTGTTATATCTTCTTGTTGTATTGATCCCTTAATCATTATATAGTGCCCCTCTTTGTCTCTCTTAACAGTTTTTGTGGTAAAGTTTATGTTGTCCGATATTAAGGTGGCTACGCCCGCTCTTTTTTCATTTCTGTTGGCATGGTATATCTTTTTCCAGCCTTTCACTTTCAGTCTGTATGGATCTTAGTTGGAAAGATGTGTTTCTTGTAAGCAGCAAATAGAAGGGTTTTGTTCCTTAACCCAATCAGCCAATCGGTGTCTTTTAACTGGACAGTTCAGGCCATTCACGTTCAATGTGACTAATGATAAGTGGTAACTTTGCCCTGCCATTTGCCAAAGATAAGTTCTAATATATGCTTTGAATTCCCTGTGATCTTTTGCTGTGAGGTTTCCTTCCTTGGTTTCCTTCCTTTACCTTCTTTCATATTGATGACCGTGTTTCTGTGTTTCTGTGTGTAACACATCTTTAAGCATCTTTTGCAGGGCTGGACGAGTGGCAACAAATTCTTTCAATTTCTGTTTGCTATGAAAAGTCTTTATTTCACCTTCATTCACAAATGAGTGATTTGCAGGATATAATATTCTGGGCTGGCAGTTGTTCTCTCTTAGTACCTGGGCTATATCTCGCCATTCCCTCCTAGCTTGTAGAGTTTCTGATGAGAAGTCAGCTGTGAGTCTGATTGGAGATCCTCTGAGAGTAATCTGACGTTTCTCTCTTGCACATTTTAGGATCTTTTCTTTATGTTTCACTGTGGAGAGTTTAATTACAACGTGTCCTGGTGAGGATCTCTTTTGGTCGTGTTTATTAGGGGTTCTGTGAGCTTCCTGTACTAGGATGTCTCTGTCCTTCTCCAAACCTGGGAAATTTTCTGTTAATATCTCACTAAAAAGGCCTTCTAATCCTTTCTCCCTCTCCATGCCTTCAGGAACTCCTAGAACCCAAATGTTGGGTTTTTTAATAGTATCCTGAAGATTCCCGACAATATGTTTTAGGTTTCTAATTTCCTCTTCTTTTCTTTGGTCTGACTGTCTCCTTTCCTGTGCTCTGTCTTCTAAGTCCGATATTCTCTCTTCTGCTTCACCCATTCTGTTTGTACGGCTCTCTATTGTGTTTTTCATTTGATCTATTGAATTCTTCACTTCAGTCACTATCACAGTTTCCTGTTGTACTAGTTGTTTCGTTTCATTTTGATTCCTCCTTAATATTTCATTTTCACGAGAGAGATTTTCTATCTTGTCCATTAAGGATTTCTGTAGTTCAAGAATTTGTTTTTGAGAACTTCTTAATGTTCTTATCAATTTTTTGAGATCTGCTTCTTGCATTTGTTCTATCTCATCATCTTCATAATCTTGAATTGGGGTGTCTTTTTCATTTGAGGGCATCATGGTGACTTCCTTGTTTTTATTACCTTGGTTTTTGCGTTTGTTATTTGGCATATTGGAGATATTTGGTTTCTTCACTGTGGTGCTTTTTCTTGTTATACTATGACTCTAGATTAAGTGGACTATCTGTTTTTGATGGAGCCTTAGGGCTTGAGATGGGTGTGGCCTGAGAGCTCTGTTTGGTGTGCCAAAGGTGACTCACTCAGCTTTCTCTCTCTCTCTTTCTCCCTCCCTTCCTCCCTCTTTTTAACTCAGAAGGGAAGTAATTCCGCACAGCTGAGTGGAACTGAGGCTAGTCAATGTATGAAATCTGGCCCCTGTGGGTATAATATTCGTCTGCTCTGCCCCAAGGACAACAGAAAGGGTCTATACAGTCCTCAGTGTGCTCTCAAATTTCTTGGCAGTCTCCCACTGGGCTGCCAAGGTTACCGAGTTTGTGTACTCCATGAGTTCTCTCCCATACCCTCAGATTTTCACACTCCCAGTTCATTAGCTCCATACCTTCACTAGGTCCTAACCTCCTGTTATTTCTCCCCACCAGAGTCAGGTTTTTCTGCTTGGCTGATAGCTGGCGCTGCTTTACGTATGTCCAAAATGGCGCCTGCTCTTTGTCTTGCTTGGCTTTGTAAGCTGAGTGGAGAGAGAGGCTCGTGTCCATGCCGGTCCCTTTTATTTATTTATTTTTTTCTCTCCTCCAGTTAGCCTGGTGAACTTTCCCCAGCGGGGCTTCAAGCCTCATTCCCTCTAGGCTCTTTCTGCCATTTTCCCTGCCAATGTCTTGGGCTACTGAGGTTTCGCCTCACCTCCCCTTCCAGCGCTGGTGCGCAGACTCTGTGGCTGAGCTCCCGAGCCATGGGCATCCTTGCTCTCCTCATAGGTCCTCCGTGTCACATCCACTAGATCCAGAAGAGTTTCCTCTGCAATTTTTTTTCCCGAGCCTTTCCCTGAAACTACAGTAATTGCATTTTTATTAAACTATCTTTTCCCGGACTGTCATTGCGCACCCTCACTATTCCGCCATCTTGGCTCTGCCGAGAATTTCTTCAGGGAAACTTCTAAAACCTAATGTGAAACGGATGAGGCAAAGATTGGAAATGAGATGAAACAAGATCCATTTATAGAAAAAATTAAAGAACTATAAACACAGAATTACAGATAATGTTGGGAGATTTATCATCCTTCAACTTTTTCAACACAATAAATAATTAAAATTAATGTTGCATGTGAGTTACATAACCAAGTAATAACTTTGAATTGTTAACTGAAAATGACAGCTTATCCTGGGACGCTGAAAATTTTTATTTGGTGGGAATGTAAGGACAAAGTGATTTAGCACTGTAGAATGTAGGATTGTCACCTACAGAATATCTGAGGTGTTAATCTTTTCAGAGTGTTAAATGTCTTAAAATGCTAGAGAAATTCAAGAATTTTCAATAACAAATTTATGTTTTGGATGACTTTGTAGAATGTGTGTCCTAATAAAATGTCTTACAAGTAAGCTTTGTGAGGTACATGATCATTTCAGAAGAAAATGTTTGGTTTGCAAAAATGACTTATGGGATGGATACTAGTTATGTTACTGGAGTTGGAGTAGAAGTGAATTCATAAAATTAGCATTTATGTTAAAATTTGTGTGATATTATACATAATATATATGATCTTTTTAGTCTTTCGATGGAAAAACTATTAAAGTAGAACAAGCCAACAAACCATCTTTTGAAAGTGTTGGGACACGAAGACCACAACCTCCTAGAAACAGAGGTCCTGTAAGAAATATGAAAAATGGAAAGGGAACAAGTGGAGGAACAAGATGGCATCCATCATATAGAGGACACTTGGATAAAGTTTTAAAATATAAGGATACAACCATGGGACTGAAAAGCAGTAAGTTTGAATCTATAGAAAATCTGTTTTCTTTTTGACCAAAATTATTTATAAATTACTAAATGGTATAGAAATCTAAGAAAGATTAAATAGTGACTGAAATATTATTTTAATATTGTGATTATTTTCAGAAAAGCTTTATAAATTTCATACTAAGCTCAGTTTATTGTAAGTGCTAATTGATTCCAAATTTTCTGGCAGAACTTATTTCTGTTGATCAAATAAACATATAGTTTTATACATTGGGATCAACAACTCCATGTAAAAATTAATTTAGCAGGTTTTTTTTATTAGGTATATGTATGTAACCATCTATGTAAATATAATAATACATGGTCATTTTTATAGAGGGAATTGTGTGTTGGTCTGTTGTGAGGAAGTTTGCATCCAGGGCTGTAGTTCTCGGAGTGACTTTAACTCTGGAAAAGTGAAAACACTTTCATTAATTTTAGAGGCTGAATCATTGAAAATGGTACCTAAGCTATTTTCAGAGATGCCTTATTTTCACAGTCAAGGGAGGGTCGTGAACATTTTAAAAATTACCCATGTGCTAAAAAAAATCTGTATTATCAGGTTTTATTGTTTTACTTATTTATTGCTCTTCAAAAAGAAAGGATTTAATAACCAGTATTGAATAGAGATTCCAAAATGGCAGAACAGGGAGGGAGCTTGTTGCTCTAGGATAGGGGAGGGTTGTAAAAATAAAAGTGGAGAGAGTGCAATCTCAGGGAACAGCTATGGAGAAAACTGTGGTGGAAATAGCATGTAGTGGATCTTTATGGGGGTTATAGACCTGAAGCAGGAAAATAGACACAACACAAGACACCAACAGCCAAGAGCCTCAGCACCATCTTTTTGGATAGTGAGGTGAGGTGTGACTGGACTGCGGCAGTCCGAGCTACTAGCAATAAAGTTGTGGGGAGAGCCTGTGTGAGTCTGGCTTAGAGCCATTTGGGGGACAGTATACCTGCCAACCTGACTACCCAGCAGAAGTACCCTGCAACTAACTGAGAGAGGGGAGACACCATTTTGAGATGTAGGTAACGGTTACAGCAGCTTGTGTTCACAAGTCCACGGACCAGCCCAGAGGAGACATCTGAGGCTGGCTAGAAGGATTGATGCGGACTGGGTGCCCATTTAGGATTGTGGGCTGCTCCAGCCTCCCAGCATGTCACAAGCTCTGGGGCTCTGGCAGCCTGGACAGAACGCTGATAGGCAGCTGGCTGTGGGAGTGTCTTCACCTCTCCATGGATGGGATAGACTAACAAAGCGGAGTGGATCCAATGACTGGGAGCCTTTTGTGCTGGGACAGTGGAAACAGTGTGTTTGTATGGGAGGGTGTAGGGTGTGGCTAAGTTTCTGGGCAGTAGCTGTATGTGGCTCCATATGCTTAGGGCTCCCTGATTGCCTTTGATGGGTCATTCCTGTGGGATCTGTGCTCAATATGAGGACTGCACAGATCATTTGGATCTTGTGGCAGCATGGATGACTATTGTACCCACTGGGCCTAGAGCCTGGGTCTTGGAATAGAGGAGCTGAGTATGAGACTATGCCAACAGAGCTGATTAAACTTCCCCCCTGATTAAAGAAAAAGATTTGACATGCCCAATATGGATGTCATTTTGGATGCTCCCTTTACCCTGGAGCACTGAACAGAGCTTCCTGGCCACACCCAGCATACTCCCCTGGGCATGCACTGAAAAGCACACAGAGGCGTAGTCCAAAGATAAAAGCCATCAGAAGGAGGAAAAAAACTCAACAAGTATTTCCACAAATGCCTGAACATAAATGCAGCAATTCAAGAAACAGGAATTAGGAAGACAACATGATACCCCAAGGAAACACTAGCACTTCAGTACTAGAATGAAGATGAAGAGATTAAATGCCAGAAATGGAATTTAAAAGTCAAAGGATTACTCAGATGTAATCAGAAGCAAATCCCGGAATTATATAAATCCATATATGATGTGAATGAAAATTTTCTCATGAAACAGAGATATTAAAGAAAAAGTGAAGTACTGGCAAAGAAGAATTCAATAAGGCATTAAAAATGGCATTAACAATAGGTTCTTAAAAATTTTACATAAGACCAAAAGGAGAAATTAGAAAAATTAAAGTTGGAGGTTTATGGGATGCTCTGAAATAGCCCAACATACAAGTCTTTGGAGTTTTGGAAGGCATGAAAAGAGAATGAATTAGAAGGCATTTTTAGTGAAATAAATACAGAAAACTTCCCAAATTAGGAGAAAGAAATGTCCAGGTAAAGGGAGCACATAGACTCCTAATAGAAATAATCAGAAAGATCTTCAGCATGACGTGTTGTAGTGAACTTTCCAAGTAAAACATAAAGAAAAGATTCTAAAATTTGCAAGCGAGAAATACCATATTAGTTTGATGATCTCCAGTTAAACTCACAAAACTCACAGCTGACTTATCAGAAAATCTTCAGTCCAGGAGAGCATGGCAAGATATAATCAAGTCTTAAGAGAAAAAAAAAAGTCAACCTAGAGTACTGTACCCTGAAAAGGTCTTACTTATGAATGAAGGTGAAATAATAAAGACTTCCATAACAGAAATTGGAAAAATTTGTCACCACCTGCCCAGCCTTAAAAAAAAAATGCTTGGAGATTTGCTACACTCAGAAACACAGAAACATGGTCACCACTGTGAAAGAATGTGAAGGCAAAATATTTCCCAGTTAAAGCCCAAGGAAAATCCAAGTTAAACAGTAGGAATACGCAAAATGGAGGACAAAATTGATACTTACCAATAGTTAACACTGCATTTAAAAGGCGTCAAGTCTCCAGTTATAAGCTGCTGCTGAGGTATAACAGGCAAAGCTGCTACCTGCAGTGCCAGCATTCTATATGGGCACTAGTTCAAGTCCTGGTGGCTCCACTTCCAAGCCAACTATCTGCTATAGCCTGGAAAAGCAGTAGAAGACTGTCCAAGCCTTTCGGCCCCTGCACCCACTTGGGAGACCCAGAAGAAGCTCCTGGCTCTTGGGTTTGGATCGGCACAGCTTTGCCTGTTGCAGCCATTTGGGATGGACCAGCAGATGGAAGACCTGTCTGTCTGTATGTCTGTCTCTCTCTGCCTGTACCTCTCTGTAACTCTTTCAAATAATAAATAAAATATTTGTATAGACCGGCTGAATGGTTAAAAAATAACATTCGTCTGTTTGCTGCCTCCAAAGAAGACATCACACCAACAAAGATACAACAGACTGAAAGAAAGGAAAAGATACTTCATGCTAACAGAAATCAAAAAAGAGCTGGTGTAGCCATCCTAGTATCAGACAAAGTAGGCTTTGACATAAAAGAGAGACAAAGAAGGGCACTATGAAATGACTGGTGGATCAATTCAACAGGAGATGTGACTATAATAAATGTAATATGCACCCAACTGCAGGGAAAGTGGATTTTACAAGGAAATATTAATGGATTTAAAGAGGCATAGACTGTAATACAGTAGTAATGGGGGACTTATAGTACCCCATTTTCAGCAAAGGACAGAGAAATCAGACAGAAAAATCAGAAATGAAATAGTAGAGTTTAATGACACTACAAACCAAATGGACCTAATGGCTATCTTCAGAACTTCTCATCCTACAATTGCAGAATACAGAGTCTCACCAGTACAAGGAAGTTTCTCTAGGACAGATCATATTCTAGGCCATAAAGCAAGTCTCAGCAAATTAAAAAAAAATCGAAGTCTTACCATGCATCTTCTCTGACCAAAACGGAATCAAGCTGGAAGTCAGCAACTTAAGAATTTCTAGACCATATGCAAAAATATGGAGACTGAACAACATGTTCCTGAATGAACACTGAAGAAATCAAAAGAGAAATCAAAAAAATTTCTGGAAACAAAAGACAACAGTACAACATATCAGAAATTATGGGTATAACTAAAGTAGTGTTAAGAGGAGGAAAGTTTGTAGCAATTGGTGCCTACATCATGAAAGTGGAAAGGCACCAATAAATGAGCTATCAGTGTATCTCAAGGACTAGAAAAACAACAGCAAAGCAAATCCAAAATTATGAGAAAAGAAATAAGAAATTTTAAAAATAGAAACCCAAACCTACAAAAGATAGCAAAATAAAGATCTGTTTTACTGAAACATAAAAATTGATACACCATTGACCCACCAGAAAAAGAGAAGACCCAAATCAATAACATTAGAAAAGAAAAAGGAAATATAACAGATTACCACAGAAATAAAAAACATTAATCAGGAATCACTACAAAGAGCTTCATGCCAACAAATTGGGAAACCTAGAAAGTTGGAGTCCTGCACCAGCCAGTCCAGGGGTTCCCAAAGGTGTGATAGGGTCAGCACAGGAAGAAATGAGAGACAAATGGACAGCAAGGCTGATGGCATGGCTCTGGCGCTTGAGCACCAGGCTTTATTTTTATATCATAAGTCACATAATGATTTTCCTTACAGTAACAAGTCTGTTATCCATTCTCATGTAGTAACAATTTCTTTGATTTTCAAGGGCATATTCAGAGCATGGGTTACTATCAGACAGATGCAAGATAATGGGCTGCGCATATGAGCCAAGGCCTCGAGTGCTGTCAAGTTATGCAGAAATTGGCTACACAGCTAGAATATTACCTTCCTAATCTAATCTTTACTGAAGTACTAGTGTTCAAAGCAGGCCCTTTTTAAAATGTATCCCTTCTTTTGCAGTTCTTTCCGTAACTCTTTATTTATTGTGCTTTTCTAAAGGTTCACTTAGATCTATTCCTCAGTTTTGACATCCTAACCATACTGGTATTTGTAGCACGTATTGAATTAAAGCTTTAATAACATTTACCTTTATTTTAGTGGGAAGTATACACCAGGAGCCTATTGCCTTTTAATTCTTTTCCACAAACAACTCAACTTTGCATAAAGCATCAACCCCTTCTCCTATACCAACATTCTTCTTGATTAAAATTTTACAAAGCAATGGACATTTTGGGGATTACGAGACCAAGCGCTCTTCCCTAACATTAGAAATACAGCTATCATTAGCAGGACCACCAGGAAGTTCTAGCTTCTTATACAGAGTGCAATTCCCAACAAACCTAAAACCACCAAGAGGACCTTAGCTGTTGTTCTCATGCCTTGCTGAGACAGACCTTCTGCTGTGACCTTGTCAGCTAGCTGAAAGTGCCTTGGCCTTGCCACTAGAAGAAATGGATAGATTCCTGGACATGCACAACCTAACAAAATTGATTCATGAAGATACACAAAACCTAAACAGACCAGTAACCAAGACAAAAATCCAATCAATAATAAATACCCTCCCAACAAAGAAAAGCTCAGAATAGGTTGGCTTCACTGCTGAATTCCACCAAACATTTAAAGTGGAACTAACTAGAATTCTTTTCAAGCTATACAAAACAATTGAAAGGGAGCGAATCTTCCCAAACATTCAGCCTACATCATTTTAATTCCAGTACCTGCAGAAGATAAAGAGAACTACATACCAGTTTCCCTGATGAACACATATGCAAAAATCCTCAACAAAATAATAGCCAGTTGAATCCAGCAACACATCATAAATACCATTCACACAGGCCAAGTGGGATTTATCCCCAGAATGCATGGATGGTTCCACATTCACAAATCAATCAACATGATACAACACATTAACAAACTTAGAACAAAAAAAAAAATCTCAGTAGATGTCGAGAAAGCACCTTAAGCAAGTTGTTTATAGAGGGAACACTCCTCAACACAAGCAAGGCAATTTATGACAAACCCTGGGCCAGCGATTTTATTGAATGGGGAAAAGTTGGAAGCAACACTGAGATCTGGAACCAGACAAGGGCACCCACTCTCTCTGTTGCTGTTCAATATAGGCCTAGAAGTTTTAGCCAGAACTTTTAGGAAGGAAAAATACATGAAAGAGATACAAATTGGGAATGAGGAAGTCAAATTATCCTTATTTACAGACATGATTCAATAAATAAGGAATTCAAAAGACTGCACTAAGAGACTATTGAAAGGCAAAAAACTATTTGGTAAAGTAGCAGGACATACAATGAAATAGCCTTTGTGTACACAGATAATGCCATGGCTGAGAAAGAACTTCTCAGATCAAAACCATTCACAATGGATTCACAATAAATTAAACACCTTGGAATAAGTTTAAACAAGGACATCAAAGATATCTACAATGAAAAATACAAAATATTAAAGAAATAAATAGAAAAAGACACAAAAAATGGAAACTACCATGTTCATGGATTGGAAGAATGAACATCATTAAAATATCCATACTACCAAAAGCCATTTACAGATTCAGTGTGTCCCTGTTAGTGTTTTCAGCCATGACCAAGAACGACAACCAAGACCACGCTGAGCCTCAATAAGTTCCATTAGGGCAAAGAACTTCCAGGAGCAGCATCAGAGGGAGAGGAGCTCAGAGTGCATGTGTAGAGCTGGAGTTTTATAGGGAACTTGTGTCAAGGGAGTTCAGAGTTAGGTGGGAGGAGAGTTGAAGTGGCCAAACAAAACAAGGTGGGATTCGGGCTGGAGCATCTGGAGAGGATACTAGATACCATGAGATGGTGTTCCTGACACAAGGAGTCATCAGGGCTGCCTCATTTATAGCTGTGGCAGTAATAGGGACCTGGAAGCACAGGATCTCTGACTTGTAACTGGGAGCAGTTGCGGGAATGGTGAAGCTCAGAAAGTCTCTCAGGCCTGATTTGTAGCTAGGACAGATTATGAGAATGGTGAAGCTCTCTAGGAGTGTGGCACCAATGTTTTTATTTTCTTGATGCCAGGAAAGAGTATGGGAGATATCTTGGACCTGTGTGGATTTAGGACTCTCATAATCCCAGTCAAGATAACAAGGGCATTCTTTTCAGATACAGAAAAAATACGATGCTGAATTCATTTGGAAACACAAGAAATCTCAAAAAACAAAGCTGGAGGCATCACATTCCCAGATTTCAAAACATAATAAAGAGCATTTATAATCACAACAGCCTAGTACAGGCATAAAAACAGATGAATAAGACAATTGAATAGAATAGAAACTCCAGAAATCAATTCACACATCTACAACCAACTTATCTTTGACAGAGGAGCTAAAATCTATCCCTGGAGTGAGAACAATGTCTCACACAATTGATGTTGGAAAAACTGGATCTCCACATGCTGAAGTATGAAGTAAGACCCCTACCTTCCACCTTACACAAAAATACACTCAAAATGGTTCAAAGACCTAAATCTATGACATAGTACTGTGAAATTATTAGATAACCTTGGGGAAACCCTGAAAGACCCTGGGATGGGTGAAGTTTTCTTGGGAATGACCCCAGAAGCACAGAAATACAAAGACAAATTGATAAATGGAATTGCTCAAATTGAGAAGCTTCTGCACTGCAAAAGAAACATCCAGCAAAGTGAAGAGGCAACTGACAGAATGGGAGAAGATATTTACAAACTATGCAGCTGATAAAGGATTAATATCCAGAATATATAGAGAAATCAATAAACTGTACAACAGTAAAACAGTCTAGTTAAGAAATGGGCAAAGAACTTGAATGTACACTTCTCAATAGGGAAAATCCAGGGGCCAGCACTGTGTGTTAACAGGTAAAGAAGCATCCTGCAGTGCTGGAATCCTATATGGGTGCCGGTTCAAGACCCACTTCTGATCCAGCTCTCTGCTATGGCCTGGGATAGCAGTAGAAGATGGTTGGTCCAAATCCTTGGGCCGCCTTAGGAGACCCAGTGGAATCACCTGGATCCTGACTTTGGATTGCCAAAGCTCTGGATATTGGGGCCATTTAGGGGGTGAACCAGCAGCTGGGAGATCTCTGTGTCTCTATGCCTGTGCTTCTCTGTAACTCTGCCTTTCAAATAAATAAATCTTGAAAGAAGAAGAAATCCAAATAGCCAACACACAGAAGAAAAAGTGCTCAGGATCAGTGGCCATTAGCAAAATGCAAATCAAAACCACAATGGTGCTTCAACTCACCCGTTACAAAGGCTTTCATTCAAAAATCAACAAATAACAAATGTTGATTAAGGATGTGGGGGGAAAAAAGTTGCCCTAATCCACTACTGCTGGGAATATAAAACTGTACAGCCACAGTGGAAGACAGTTTGGAGAATGTTCAATGCAGGTCAGTTCACAGTAGCTAAGATATGGCATCAAGCCAGATGTCTGTCAGCTGAAGACTGGAAAAAGAATTAATGCTATATGTACACTGTAGGATACTACACAGTGGAAAAATAAAAATGAAATCCTGTTGTTTGCAACAAAATGGATAGAACTGGAAACCATTATACTTAGTAAAATAAGCCAGTCCCAAAAAGATAAGTACCTTATGTTTTTCCTGATCTGTGGTAACAAATAGAATACCTGAAAGTAATATATAGAGGTGAAATTGACACTCTCAGTTGCAATGACTTTCAATAGCTCTTGTCTTCACTGTTAAGGAACAGTTTTTTTCATACTATTTGTTAATCTTATGTGAATAAAGTTAATTGAAATAGATCTTAGCAAAAAATAAGAATGGGACTAGGAGAAGGAGGAGGAAGAAGAGCAGGAGTATGGGTGTGAGAGCAGTTAGGTTTGCAAACAGTCATTATGTTCCTATATTTGTGTGTATGAAATGCATGGTTTGTATACCTTACATTTAAAAATGTTGTTTTACACTCAAAAGGAATATATTCATTATAAACCAAAAAAAAAACCCTACCAATATTTATAATCAGATGTATGAAAGACTGAAGATGTTTCATGTGAAATTTCAGTTCCATAGTTTGGGATTTTTTTTTTCTCTAAGTAAATTGATCTTGAAAATCAACTTTACCACCTTACAGGAGACTATACATTTATTTATTTGATAATAGCAGGGAATTAGAATATATTTAAGAGTGATTCCAGTTAGATAAAGTTTTTACATTTTAATGTTCATTTCTTTAAAACTTAGCAAAGTCCAAATTGATTGATTGTAGGAGTGTTTCATAAATTAACTGTAAGAATTGTATAATGTTATATTAGTGTAAAAGCCGCATTTTTTTCTGACACATCATCTTTTGATTTTGTGAATGACCTGGGTTTCTGTTTGGATGTTTTGGTTTATATGCTGATCTATTTTGAAAACACTTCCTTTATACCAGGCAAAAGATCAATTATTTTCTTCCTAATATACCAAAAAACCTTCACTTTAACTGGATTTTGTTTGTAAGACTTTGCCCTCTTCTTTCACTCTCTTATTCTCTCCCAATCTTTTCCACACCAGTATAAAATGCTACTTGAACTTTTTTTTCTAGAATTTTCAAGCTAATCCACCATAAGCAGAATTTATCCTATAAATACTAAATTTTGACAGTTGAATACTTCTCAAGACTATGATACTATTTAGTAGGCATTTTTAAGCAACAAATTTGGCCATTAGAATGTTGATATTGCTTAATAAAAAAGATTTTTTTGCTTAAATGCAGATGATGGAGGCTACACTTATAATGTCAACATGAGTTCTTCTAGGGGACCCTTTGCAGTTAAAAGAGGTCCATCTTCAAGAAGTGGAGGTCCTCCTCCTAAAAGATCTGCTCCTTCTGTTCCAGCAAGAAGCAATAGTGCAGTGAGAGGACGAGGTAAATATTATGCAACAACAAGTTTTCTTTCCTTAGAACTAAAGTTGTTTTCTTATGAATGAAAATGAGTTAAATTGGATTAATGTTTAAACCTAAGAAGCAACATAGAAATAGTAAATCTGCCTATCTACTTGCCTATGTATTTCTGCATCTTATTATTTGGAATTTGGAATTGGAATTGCAATTTGGAATTTGGAAATTCAGGATGAAGAGATAAATTCAGTTACCCATAATAGATGTAATAGGTAATTAATGACCATAGTAGTAAAACCATTCCTTCATTAATTCATTACAGAATCTATTACATTTTATTAAAAGTCCCCTCCAACATTCTTTGATTGTAAGGCTGCTTTTCCTCAAGATTCTCTTGAAAATTATGTCCTGTGAGAATTGTCTCACATGTTTAACTTTGGGTTGTATATTTTAACAGCTGGTTTTATGTTCTTAAAGTAATTATAAAATAACTGAAACTTGGCAATCATAACATTGTTAGTGCTAAGATCACAGAACTATTTCTGTTCAAGGCATCCTTTTTGATTGTGAGGCTAGTAATAAACACAGAAAAACATGAACGATAATTTATTTCTTATGGCAAGGAAATACAGAGAAATCAATAGAAGACATTTATGTAACATTTACATAATAGTTAAGGAAGGAGTCAGTTCATGTCACTTGCATAGTTGTGAAATGTATGGAAGATCTAATAGTGCAGGAAAGATTGAACTTTTTTTTTTTTTTTTTTTTGGACAGGCAGAGTGGACAGTGAGAGAGAGAGACAGAGAGAAAGGTCTTCCTTTGCCGTTGGTTCACCCTCCAATGGCCGCCGCGGCTTGCGCGCTGCGGCCGGCGCACCGCGCTGATCCGATGGCAGGAGCCAGGTACTTATCCTGGTCTCCCATGGGGTGAAGGGCCCAAGCACTTGGGCCATCCTCCACTGCACTCCTGGCCACAGCAGAGAGCTGGTCTGGAAGAGGGGCTACCGGGACAGAATCCGGGCCCCCGACCGGGACTAGAACCCGGTGTGCCGGCGCCGCAAGGTGGAGGATTAGCCTAGTGAGCCGCGGCGCCAGCCGGAAAGATTGAACTTTAATGTAATTGTCACTGGTGGACTAATGAAGAGATTTGAAGTGAACTAAAAGCAGGAAAGCACACAAAAAAGGTGTGAGAACAAATAAAACAGATAACGTTTAGGAGGAGATTTAAAATAAGGTCCTGGATTACAAAGCAGAAGTAAGAACATTTATTAGTAAAGAGGCTTAACAACATAATATCTTACTTCATGTAAAGAGAGAAGTATAATCTCTAGTTCTGTTTTTAAACTTTGGTACAGTGGGTTCTTGATGCTGCCATTATCCAGTTTACCTTGAATACAGTTATCAGTGAATACAGATATCTGCATCTTCAGAATACATACGGAGCAAACCTATTTCCATTAGAGGATTAGCCAGTGAGTGCTTAAAACATGAAACGCTGATCTCTAGGAATTGAGGAATAAGAATTAACACAAGACAAGATTTGAGAAAATTGCTTGCTTTAAAAGGTACAGTTTTCCCCAAATGAATATTCCATTACATTACTAATATGCAAGGGTAAGCTAGTTCATTAGCAGTAAAATAAAACTAGCCACTTGGTAATAATTTAGGAAATAAAAAATTTAGCTTGTAATAATTTTTCAGTTAAAAGGTAGCAGAGTTTGTGTATGTAAGATGGATTGAATAGCAAGATGGCTTTCTTAGCTAAGAAATAAAAATAAAAAATGAACTCTATGAAGTAAATAGTTTGAATGTTTACATTTTTGTCATTAATATTCATTAGTAGGGAGCTCTTATTTACCCTAACAGTTAAGATGCAAATGAAGATAGTGTCCCACATTGTACTACTTAAGTTCATTTTTCAGTTCAGGTCCCACCCTCCTGTTAATGCAGACTGCAGAAGGTAGTGCTGACTGATAAGTAATGGAGTTCCTGCCAAACAGTAGGGAACCTGGATTCAGATCTCTCTTTCAACTTCCTCTGTGGCTTTTGTGGGGCATTTGGAGAGGGGGATGAGAGTTTGTTCTTTTGCTTCAAAATTGTTATTTTTAATTTAAAAACAAGCATTTAAAATATATTTCATATGTAAAGGAATAAATGAAGATGCAAAAATGTTTTTTAAAGATTTTATTTACTTATTGGAGAGGTAGAGTTACAGGCAGTGAGAGGGAAAGACAGAGAGAAAGGTCTTCCTTCCGTTGGTTCGCTCCCCAAATGGCTGAAATGGCCGGAGCTGCACTGATCCGAAGCCAGGAGCAGGAGCTTCTTCCAGGTCTTCTCCCATGCAGGTGCAGGGCCCAAAGGAATTGGGCCATCTTCTCCTGCTTTCCCAGGCCATAGCAGAGAACTAGATTGGGAGAGAAGCAGCCGGGACTAGAACTGGTGTCCATATGGCTTGCCAGCACTGCAGGCGGAGGATTAACATACTGATCTATAGCACCGGCCCTGGATTTTAATATAATTTATTGGAAAGGCAGAGTAGCAAATTACCATCTGGTGGTTCATTTCCCAAAGGGCTGCAACAGTAAGGGCTGGGCCAGAAAGAATTCAGGAACAGGAAACTCCATCCTGATCTCTCACAATAGGTGACAAGGTGCTAAATACGGGCCATCCTCTGCTTTCTCTCTAGATACGTTAGCAAGAAACTGATTAAAAAACAGAGTAGCCAGGAATTGAGCTGGTTTTCTGACATGGGAACCAGACTTTGCAGGTGGTAGATAAATGTGCTGTGAGACAACGTTGGCCCCCAGAAAGTCTTTTCTAAAGAAGTTTTTAAGCACTAAAATTGGTGTTTCATTTGCTGCTTGTTTATGAGAATCATTGGTCCTGAAGGCATATTAAGATACATACAACTATGAGAAATTTTCCTGAGTTACATACTTTTAGCCATTCAGGGTAGGGCAGGGCAGGGGGAGACATTAGAAATATGCAAAGGCAGGGGCTGGCACTGTAGCGTAGCGGGTAAAGCCGCTGCCGGCAGTGCTGGCATCTCATGTGGTGCTGGTTCGAGACCCGGCCTGCTCCACTTCCAATCCAGCTCTCTGCTATGGCCTGGGAAAGCAGTAGAGGATGGCCCAAGTCCTTGGGCCCCTGCACCCACATGGGAGACCTGGAAGAAGCTCCCGGCTCCTGGCTTCGCATCAGCGCGGCTTTGGCCATTGCAGCCAGTTGGGAAATGAACCAGCAGATGGAAGACCTTTCTCTCTCTCTCTCTCCTCTCTCTCTCTCTCTCTCTCTCTGACTCTCCTTTCTCTCTGTGTAACTCTTTCAAATGACAAATAAATCTTTTAAAAATATGCAAAGGCAAAGAGAATATATAGTATAAAACATAAAATATAACAAAGTCTTGTTAGGAGAATGAATGGGAAAGAGGATTAATTGATAACAGAACTTTATTTTGAAAGACTCTAAAGGAAAAAGAAAGAAGTATGTTAAGGATAACTTAGGTCCTTTAAAAACTGAGGTGGCTACAGAAAAAAGTGAAATTTTTGAAAATGAGGCAGTTATGTAAAACAAAATAAGAAATAGTTCCAAAGTTTACAGTAGCCTGAATTCAGATTTTTCCACTCTACCATAATGTGAAAGAACTATGTACTTCAAATTTTGAATTTTGCTATTTTCCTGGCTGGTGATAGGTGATCTTTTACTCTCCTCTGATACGGGGTAGTGAAAGTAAGCTGCAGTTCCCAGTAACCCCTGTGATCTTATATTTCTGTAGAAGTATGTTGTGTTAGTAACTGGCTGCGATGTTCAGGAGATATAATATATTAAATTCATATTTAACTTAAGGAGGATTTTGACTTAGAACTAAATTATGAGAAGCATCTGTATTTACAAAAAGGTTTTGTTGCACTAAGTTGCCAATGCTGGTATGTAAAAACAAATGAGTTAAACAGCAAGAAGACTGGAGTATACTGAGGCTTTTTAAAAAAAGAAAACAGGTTGAAAGGATAGTGACAGATTTGTTTCAACTAGTCTTTACACTAAATTGTAATTACTTGGTTTAATTTTGTGTTTGAAATTTGAATAGTAAAAAGAACAGGAATAATGGACCAGTATGATGAACAATTATAAGCAGTAAGAGTGAAGACAAGTTTTTAAGAATAATTTGATGTGATGAGAAGGGATAGATAACTGAAATGATGACACATGCAAGGGAAGGATAGTCAAGTGCAAAAGGAACAGAAGGAGACATTCAATGAAGGAAAATGTGTAAGTAATCTTATTTTTGAGGTTTTGTCTACATAAGGTAACATTATTTTAAACTTTCTGTGTAGAGAGGGAACATAACAAGAAAAAAATGTGAATAACGTTTAAGCGGTAAACAGAAAAGCATTGATGGAGTCTTGGAATAATTTTTGACTTCTGTAAAGAGGAAAAAATGTTCTTTGAGGTACTTAATGTTATGATGTTGAAACTAAAGGTCCTGAATCACGCGGGAGAGAGAATTATGGAGATCTACCGCGTAGAAAGCCAGTGTCTTCCCGGAGAGATTACTATGTGTCACCAAGAGGTGGTGGTTATGCTGCAAAAGATAGGTAAAGGAAATCAGTTTTTAATTTTAAAATTAACAGTTTGGTATTATGTAAGAGCCACTTCCATTTAGACCTCAAAATATTGCCTTACACCAGAGAAAATCTTTACCAATTAAACATTACATTCCAAAGTTCCCCCTCCTCTCAACCCCTGACAAATAGCATGTTTATTTTATCTGTATGATCTATAGAGGATAGTTCATGTGATCTTTTGTGTCTCCTTTTCCTTAGCATGTTTTTAAGATTCGCTGACATTATAGCATGTATTTGGTACTTATGTTATTTTATTTCTTTTATTTATTTGAAAGAGTTACAGACAAGTAGAAACAGAGATCTCTCATTCACTGTTTCAATCCCCAAATGTCTGGAACAGCCGGAGCTGAGCTGGTCCACAGCCAGGAACAAAAGCTTATTCTGAGTCTCCCTCTTGGATGCAGGGGCCCAAGAAAGTGGATCATCTTCTACTGCTTTGCCAGGCTATAGCAGAGAGCTGGATCAGAAGTGGAGCAGCCAGGACTCAAAGCAGTGCTAACATATGGGATGCCAGCACTGCAGGCGGTGGTCTTACCTTCTGTGCCACAGCCTCACCCTATTTAAGTTCTTTTCTAACATAATATTCCTAGGATCATTCAAATCATATTTGAGTATCTGTTTCCAGTTACTTTGGATATATACATAAATAACTGCAATTATTGAGGGAAGTAATAATTAGGTTTAATTTTTTGATGAGTCATTAAATTACAACATAGCAGTTGCACCAGTTTATTTTATATTACCAATACTCTAGGATCCCAGTGTGTTTATATCCTCTCTTTTTTCCATTTTTAAAAAGATTTTATTTATTTATTTGAAAGATAGCATTACAGACAGTGAGAGGGAGAGATAGAAAGAGAAAGGTCTTCCTTCTGTTGGTTCACTCCCCAGATGGCTGCAGTGGCCAGAGCTGGGCTGATCCGAAGCCAGGAGCCAGGTGTTTCCTGCCGGTCTCCTGTGCAGGTGCAGGGGCCCAAGGACTTGGACCATCCTCTACTGCTATCCCAGGCCATGTCAGAGAGCTGGATTGGAAGAGGGGCAGCAGGGACTAGAACTGGCACCTATATGGGATGCCGGTGCCACTGGCAGAGGAACAACTCACTGTGCCGCAGAGCTGGCCCCTTTTTCAATTTTTTTTTTTTTTAGTATAGACTTTGTAGTAGATAGGAAACATGTCTTTATTTGGTCATCATTTTCATTTTCCTAATGAATTACGGAGTTGTGTCATGTACTTTTAGCCCATTTGTATGTAGTATTTGAAGGAATACTGTTCAATAACTTCGCTGATTTTTTGTGTGTGTTTAAGAGATAGTGTTTTTGTGTTTTGTACTTTAGAAATTAATATTTTAAAACCCACTGCTTTTAAGTTACAGAGATTATCCAGGTTCCCAAGAAGGCAAGGATTATGGTCCTCCAACTAGAGACGTTGTGTACCATGATTATGGCCATTCTAGTCCTCGGGATGAACATTTCTCTAGAGGATATAGGTACCTTGAAAATTCTGTGCTTATCAATTATGTTACTGAAATTGGTAATTTTTAAATTAATTAAATCTTTCCTAAATCTAGTGACCGTGGTGGCTATGGTCGCAATAGAGATTATTCTGAGCATCCAAGTAGAGGCTTTTATAGAGATGCATTTGACAATTATGGTAAGTGTCCAATTTTGATTTGTGTAGTATAGATTCAGCTAAACCAGCCACATGGTGAATATAATTTTACTCACAAAATGTAAATTGTCTATTATGGTCTCTTGACTAGATTGAGAATATTGAGCCAAACAGTTTGCTATTAATGAAAGTTAATCTTTCCTCCCATTGGGAAGTTTAATCTTTACATTTTAAAATAATGAGTGTGACAATGTTATGTATAGGATCTGCATGAAACATTAAAATTCACTCTGTTTTCAGAGGAAGTAAATATTTGTTACTTTCAACTTAAGACCCCTGCCTACTTCAGCTTAATTGATGTCATTAGAGGCAGATAAAAGCAATGTTTTCTCAACTGTTTAATAACCAGTATCATGGTGTAATGATACCCAAAAAGTGTTGAAGTTTTGCTTTCTGATCATTGAACTGCAGGGAATTCCCGTGGCGTACTATCTGCACGAGGGCCTCCACTGACTTACAGTGGAAACAATCGTTACGAAGATTGTAACAGTACACGAGATGGATATGGTGGAAATCGGGACAGTTACTCAAGCAGTCGAAGTGACATGTATCCAACTGGTCGTGCACGTGGTAGCAGACGGGAACGAGGGTTCCCACCTTCTCTGGACAGGGTGTACTATGTTCCTCATGGATCATATGGTAGTTCAAGTTGTGGGGCTTCTAGAGGCAGTCAGGGGAGAGGCCAGTCTGAAAGAGGAGGACGAAGAAGGTACTAAAACAAAAATTACACTTGTTTGCCAAACTTCCTTTGCAGACAGAAAATTTAAATGCTACTTTTCTTGTGTTGTAAGTACTAGCTATTAAAAGAAATACCTTGGTTTTGGAGGAGGGGGCATATATTAACTTCTCTTCTGTGACTTTTCCCTTTTACAATATATAGATAGATTTGTTTAAAGTAATGTCAGTGTCGCTGTTGAGAAATAAACGTTTCTTCTTGAGAGTGTTTGTACTGTTAAAAGTTCTTAGAATAAAAGTTTGCACAAAACCCTGTGTCCCGTTGCATTGTTCTTTGTTGCATGTATGTCACTACACCAGCCCTTAAACTATCTTTATATTATAAAGAAATAATTACTTGAAAGAGGGTGAGCCGGCACCGTGGCTCAATAGGCTAATCCTCCACGTGCGGCGCCAGCACCCCAGGTTCTAGACCCGGTTGGGGTGCTGGATTCTGTCCCGGTTGCTCCTTTCTTCCAGTCCAGCTCTCTGCTGTGGCCTGGGAGTGCAATGGAGGATGGCCCAAGTCCTTGGGAGACCAGGAGAGGCGAGTGGCTCCTGGCTTCGGATCAGCGCGGTGTGCCGGCCGCAGCGCTCTGGCCGCAGTGGCTACTGGGGGGCGAACCAACCAAAAAGGAAGACCTTTCTCTCTGTCTCTCTCTGTCTGTCTCTCTGTCTGTCTCTCTCTCTCTCTCTTTCTCTCTCACTGTCCACACTCTGCCTGTCAGAAAGAAAGAAAGAAAGAAAGAAAGAAAGAAAGAAAGAAAGAAAGAAAGAAAGAAAGAAAGAAAGAAAGAAAGAAAGAAAGAAAGAAAAGAAAGAGGGTGAGACTGTTTTACATCCACTGATTTACTCTCCAAGTGGCCATAATAACCCGGGCTGGACTGAACCGGAGCTTCACCTTGGTATCCCACATGGGTGGCAAGAGGCCTAAGCACTTGGACCATCTTCTGCCGATTTCCCAGATGTGTGAGCAGGGAGCTGGACTGGAAGTGGAGCAGCCAGGACTCAAACCAGCACCCATATTAGGTGCCTGCCATCGCAGGAGGCGGCTCTACCTCCTGTACTACAATGCCAACTCTAAACTAATGAGTTTTTTAAAAGTACCCTTGTATTTGAAATTTCATTTGTGTCATTAAATTTCTTCATGGCAAGATGGCCTTAATTAAGCAGGATAAGCAAATCATTAAGTTGCTCTTTTTAAAAAGTGAAACATGTAAAAAGGTTTGAGAAGTCTCCAGAATGGCTTTAAAACTCATTGTCCATGGACCAGCACTGTGGTGTAGCAAGTAAAGCTGCTGCCTGCAGTGCCAGCATCTCATACAGGAGCTGGATTGAGACCGGCTGCTCCACTTCCCAGCCAGCTCTCTGCTGTGGCCTGGGAAAGCTGTGGAAGATGGCCCAAGTCCTTGGGCCCCTGCACCCATGTGGGAGACCTGGGAGAAGCACCTGGTGGAGCTTCAGATCAGTGCAGCTCTGGCCATTGCAGCCAATTGGGGAGTGAACCAGAAGATGGGGGACCTCTCTCTGCTTCTCCTCTCCCTGTGTAACTCTAACTTTCAAGTAAAGTAAATAAATCTTAAAAAATAATCACTGTCCTAATACTAAGTTTTTGTGTGTGTGTGTGTGTCCTGATACATGGCAGGAAAATGGAATTGAAAGATACAGTAATGTTTCCCAGACAATTGGGTGATGGTTATAGGCAATTAACTGCTATGCTAGGAAAGGAAAGACTCATACTGAAATTGAACAAACTGGAAAAAAATATTTTTGTATCCAAATTAGAGAACTAAATGACTGAAATGAGAGTTACTGGAACCCTTAATTTCCATTTAAATCAAATCTGAACTAACTCAGTTTAATACATTTCTTAATAAAATAAGTATTGCCAGGTTTAGAAATATTGGAGTACAAGGCTATTTAGGAGTTCAAATTAATTCTTGAAATAGTTGAAAATGATTTTAAATAAAAATTTATGTTCTTAAAATTGGTAATAATGTGGCACAGTTAGGGTTTTTAGCAAATTCAGCTGAAGATCATGAATAGGAAATAAAGAGGCTTCAACATTTGAAATTCATGTAAAAACTTCCTTTAAGGTTTATTGATTTAAAAGCCAGAATTAGAGGAGGAGAAAATGAGAGAGAGGGATCTTCCATCTGTTAGTTAACTTCCCAACTGTCCACAATGGCTGGGGCTGGGCCAGGTTGAAGCCAGGAAGCTTATAGGGGTCTCTCACTTGACTAAATGTGCTCAACTACTTGGACCATCTTCTGCTGTTGTTCCAGGTTAATTAGCAGGGGACTGGATTGGAAATGGTGCAGCTGATAGAATAATCAGTGCCCATTATAGGATGCTGGCTTTGCAGGCAGCAATTCTATCTTCTACCCCATAATACCAGTTCTTTGTGTAAAAACTCAAAAAGCATATAGCATATAAGAAATTTAAGGCCAGCGCCGCGGCTCACTAGGCTAATCCTCCGCCTTGTGGCACTGGCACACCGGGTTCTAGTCCCGGTCGGGGTGCCAGATTCTGTCCCAGTTGCCCCTCTTCCAGGCCAGCTCTCTGCTGTGGCCAGGGAGTGCAGTGGAGGATGGCCCAAGTCCTTGGGCCCTGCACCCCATGGGAGACCAGGAGAAGCACCTGGCTCCTGGCTTCAGATCAGCGCGGTGCGCCGGCCGTGGTGGCCACTGGAGGGTGAACCAACGGCAAAGGAAGACCTTTCTCTCTCTCTCTCTCACTGTCCACTCTGCCTGTCAAAAAAATTAAAAAAAAGAAATTTAATACACTACTTAGGTTTAAAAATTGTTAAATGACAGATTAGAGCATCAAGTGGTGTTAGTAAAATGGTGCAGTCTTATGCGTGGCACCATCTAAGCCCCAGGCACCATCTTAGGCTATGACCCCATTGCCATCTTGTATAGTAAACTTTGGTCCTAAGCCCAGCCTGGCTTGCTAAATGTCAGGTGACCAAATGGCCCAACCACAAGCATCAGCTCCACCTCCACCCTAATGAGATTCATTGCTTCCATTTGCCTACCTTCTCTAAGGCTATAACAAAACCTGCTGCCCATACACGTGCTCCTGATCGTTCTCCCTTTTCTGCCTCTTCCTCCAGCCTGTTTCCCACCCAGCAACATACCTTTCCTTTAACTTTAATGTTTGGTGTTTTGTGGTGGCCCTCCATTGCTTCTGTGACTTGGATCCAAGTTCTCTGTGGACCTCGTTCTCCCCTTGGTGATTTGGGAGGCTTTGGGATCCTGGCCTGTTGCCAACCACAAAACTCACTCCTTGGGCTACCTTCATTACCAAATGTTCTGTGATTTCCATCCGCACACTTGCCATTCAGAATCCTCAAGAAAGATGGGGAATGGGGAATTCTCCCACTGTGACTTTTACCACGGATTGTGGTTTTGCTCTGTGTTGTCTTGAAGTCCTGGTACCAGGCACCACAACTCCCAAGGCTTTATGCCTCTCCACGGGCTTTATGCCTTTCCACGGACTTTAAGCCATCCATGGACTGTAGGCCTTCCATGGGCTTTAGGCCATAGGCGCCAATGGCTACATGGGTGATGATCCCAACTCTCTGTTCCTGTACCCTCCCTTTCAGACAGCCATGATCTTGTGGATACCTGATAACCACCAGTCTGACTCACAGGTCGCCATGGGAGCTTCCTCATCCCACATTCCATCTGATTCTCCTCTCAGTTGTCTCCTAAACAATTTAGCCCCTCTTAAATTGCCTCCAAATCTCAAATGTCATTGCCTCTTTTTGGTATCAGGCGAGGCCCATGTATGACCTCAACAGCCAGTTAAAATGGCCACTTAATGGCACATTTGACTCTGACACTCGGGAATCTGTGGGTGTTTGGGAAAGTGAAAGTAGATTCCGTATATCTAAGCTTTCTCCTATCTCTTCTCTAAACCTTTTTTTATAATTTTTTATTTTAGAAAACTTTTATTTAATAAATATAAATTTCAAAAGTAAAACTTAGGCCGGCGCCGCGGCTCACTAGGCTAATCCTCCGCCTAGCGGCGCCGGCACACCGGGTTCTAGTCCCGGTCGGGGCGCCGGATTCTGTCCCGGTTGCCCCTCTTCCAGGCCAGCCCTCTGCTGTGGCCCGGGAGTGCAGTGGAGGATGGCCCAGGTGCTTGGGCCCTGCACCCCATGGGAGACCAGGAAAAGCACCTGGCTCCTGGCTCCTGCCATCGGATCAGCGCGGTGCGCCGGCCGCATCGCGCTGGCCGCGGCGGCCATTGGAGGGTGAACCAACGGCAAAGGAAGACCTTTCTCTCTGTCTCTCTCTCTCTCACTGTCCACTCTGCCTGTCAAAAAAAAAAAAAAAAAAAAGAAAAGTAAAACTTTTGGATTATAGTGGTTTTCCCCCCCATAACCACTGTCCCATCCGCAACCATCCCATCTCCCACTCCCTCTCCCATCCCATTCTTCATCAGATTCATTTCAATTATCTTTATATAGAGAACATCAATTTAGTATATACTAGGTAAAGATTTCAACAGACTGCACCCACACAGACACACAAAGTGTAGGGTACTGTTTGAAGACTAATTTTACCGTTAATTCTCAGTACGACACATTAAGGACAGAGATCCTATGTGGGGAATAAGTGCACAGTGACTCCTGTTCTTGATTTAACAATTGACACTCTTATTTGTGATGTCAGTAATCACCCGAGGCTCTTGTCACGAGCTGCCAAGGCTGTGGAAGCCTCTTGAGTCCACAATTGTGACCTTATTTAGACAAGGCCATAGTCAAAGTGGAAGTTCTCTCCTCCCTTCAGAGGAAGGTACCTCCTTCTTTGATGGCCCGTTTTTTTCCACTGGGATCTCACTCACAGAGATCTTTCAATTAGGTCATTTTTGCAGTGTCTTGTCTTTCCATGCCTGGGAAACTCTCATGGGCTTTTTAGCCAGGTCCGAATGCCGTAAGGGCTGATTCTGAGGCAAGCGTGCTGTCTAAACCTTCTCTTCATACCTCACGTTCTTCAGCTCAAGTTCTATTTACTTCCAAAGCCCTTACTAGCCAAGCCCCTTTCTAGCTCTTCACTGTCTCATTCACCATACCTCCTTTCTCCCACCTAAGAATCCCAACCTTATCTCAGAACCAGCCCTTTAGGTCTACTGCCCACCTTGTCTACTCCCTTTGCCTTATCTATGATCCTCTCTAACACCCTCCTGGATAAGCAAAGGCAAGTTCAGGAACAGGTTGTCTCCATGCCATCACCCTCTAGCCCAGGTCCTCCAAATAACCTTCACTCCTCCCTCTGTTCCAATTTTACCATA